ACTTTTTTAAAGCCTTTTCATCTTAACAAATTTGAAGGCATCTCGTAATGAAATCGCCTTAGCAACTGAAATTGTGTTGTGAGAAAAAAAAAAATGCGAAAATCACTTCTATTTTAAATGGCAAATACTTAATGTAGTTCATTTTATCGTGTAGGCTCTAATTCTATCTTCTGGCCCATATTGTTGTGTATTCCTCCAGTCAGTCCACATGTCATGCACAATAATAAGCATGCATGTTAATAAGAGACCCAAAAAGAAGAGACAACTCCTTTGCAAAACGACCCTAGTCCATAAATAACGATCCTGCATGAAACCATGTTTGCTAGCAGAAAATCTTGCATAGATGTAGCTGGCATTGCTCCCGATATTTCAAATGTGACAGTGGATTTTATGGAAACCCCGAGGAGGGGGCATGGCAGCCCAAACTTTATCCATGTTCAATAATGTTGAGTTGGTTTAGAAATATTTTTAAAATGCTTGAAAGTATTTTTAGTAAAATTGTTTTTTTTGGAAGAAACATCAGCGATGTGCTTCTTGCAGGAAGTTTTTTAAGTGCATTTTTAGGATTTACTTTAATTTTCACTAATGATCGGTTTCAAAAACATTTTCACTAAAAACGCTTTTAGTCATTTTAAAAATACTTCCAAATGAGCCCTTATATAAAAGTTTTTTTTTTTTTTTTCACACAACATTGTACTATTATATTAAGACGTTACGTGACAGTAAACTCGTTTTACATAAGTTTTTCTTATGCAAAGATGCCAATCAATTTTATTATTTTTTTGTCGAAGATGCCAATCAATTAAATTTGAAGGAAACAAGCTTTGGTGTATCCTCGTTGGCAGTACCTCCCAGTCCAGCAATAGTCATGGCTACCACTACTTAATAATAACGTTTTAGGGCTCCACATTTCAAATCCATGCGATAATTGTGGTCTGATTATAGCAAACATTTTTGGTCATATAGTTTGAGGCCTTTTTAAGTACGACTTAAAATGTTTTGGTCACTCCCACTTGTTTCCACTTTGACAGTTGGAAGGACTCATTTGTTTGTTTTTAATATGATATATGAAGCATATTAAGAACCTAGTTAAACAAGCAGATGCTTCTTTTTCCCTTTCCATGATTCCATCTTTATATATAATCTATACATATTGTAATTACATAAAGTGGACAAACTTAATTAACTCGCTTATGGTTGTAACCCACGTGAATGCTCAATGGTTGTGGACGAATTCTAAAGCTTGTATTCACACGGCACGTTTTGAGTTCAAATGGTGGTTGATGAATCACACGATGGTTGCTAGAAGGATGCTAAAATGCTTACATGTGTCATATCAATTCCTAAAAAAGTAGAATATCGTAGCAAAGCTACCAGCTAATCTCATTTTTCTAAAGTAATAAAACTAGCTTATGTTTGTTATAATCCGAGTACTTGAACTGAAAAATAATTAAGTTGGTGGGTGTAGTGGACCATATGACCAATCATGCCTTCCACCAGCAAAACAAGAGGTTAGATCTCACTAACATTCTACGAATCTATGAGGATAGATATCTTTATCACTTAATTGAGAAATGCTACCGAGAGTTGCTCGCACATGGATTCGTTTATGATTATTTCATCTGCAAGCAAAAGATGCACACATGCACGATTATCCCTAGCTTTATTAAGGGACTGTCGACACTGCATCTTCGAGTTAACTGTTTTAGATCTTGATGAAGATAAATTTATTAGTTGATAATCATTTTCGTGCGTAAAATATTTGTTCATTCTAGTTTCAAAAGATAAAAACTTACTAACAACTTGAACGTTGAAATGATAAAATTTTAAGCTAATTAACCACGTATTCCACATGTTTGAACGTTTTTTATTTTCAAATTGTAATTGACTTAGAATACTGAGACAATAGCATCTCGTCCCATGACAATCTTTCTCCTAAACCTAGCTCTAACATTTCCGGTGAACTATCTCATCTGAAATTGAAAGACAGGACCTCATCTCTTTCTTCCCTTTCCTTTTCCTCCAAAGCACCCAACAAAGCAGACCTAATCCAATCCAATGATTGCCCTGATGTTAATTAATTAAATTATTTGCCTAACACGCATTTATCTTTCAGCTCGTTCACTGTATTTAGAAAACTGAGGCGTGAAATGAAACCCTAGAATGATCAAGAATAAAAGCAGAGATAAAGGCATTAGCACGTGCAAGTATGACTGTTGCTGGTGACCTTGCTGACACCGACTCATCCGTTAATATTTCTAGTTTCCCGCCCGGTGCTTCAACTCCAAACACTAAAACTCGTAAACCAGAAAATAATGATTTGGTGGTGGAGACGAATTTCAGGCACGTATTCTATATTACGCTTTAAATTCGACTCTTGTGAGTTGTGGCGTTGATAAAACACACAAAAGTAACCAAGAAGAAGCAAATGTCTCTACAAATTTTTCTAATCTCTAAAAAATGGACTGAAGTGACGGAATTAACCTTTTCTTCTGGTAAAAAAAATACTAATGAAAATGGTTTGAAAATTTTGAGTTTTTAACAAAATGACAAAAATGTGTTGTAAGTAAATATTACTATGAGTGACTTTTTAGAGTAAAAATATCATTTTTCATTAAAATTAACAATACCAAGAATGTTTTGTTAAAACTCCCAAGAAAAAAACCACTAAAACTGGTATTAATTTACGACAATATTCCTATATTTACCCAATGCCACTGGGCAAACTTTTGGTTGGTTCGGAGCCAAATAATCAATATATAAATCAATTTTCCATTTACCATGCATGCATTGCATGCTTCGGAGTCTCGGACCTCGGTGCCTTGTGGACCGTTTTTGGAGGGATTTATGAAGATAATATAACTTTATGCATGCTTAACATTGTTGACTCACAATCTATTGTTTAAGATCTAATCTATCTAGCTTTCATTTTTCTTATATACATTTTTACCATCAGACATTTTTTACCATCAACGAGGACATTCCAATGGTCCCCGTTTCATCACACGCGAAGGCACTACTCGCACGTGTTGAAAATTGGTGTACTTTCGGCTGCTTGTCGCAAGCTACATGCGGATTACAAGTATGTAAAATAAAGTTGTTTTAATTATAGTATGACTGGTGCATGTCTCTATTTGATTGCAGGAGTTATCAGTGTTCAATTTGTGTAGATGCGAAATGATAAATGTTTTTGTTGTGTTCGATACGTGACTAATCATATAAGGTTTATTAATCTTTAATATATGGTATCATTTCATGTCTTAAATGATTTGAAGATATATAAGTCCTAATTACACCACAACAAAACAGCTATTTAGCAAAGAATAAATATCCTTAAAAAAAAGGTATTTATGAAAAATATAAAATTACAGCAGTTTACCAATATGTAGTGGGTTAGTCGTTACAAAAAGCTAAGAACATACAGCCCTATGAGAAGATCTTACCACTGCGGGAAATGAGAGAGGATACTTGCAGGATTCTCTTTATAAGGATTTCAGGGATCTTTCAATCACATTCGTTCATCGTATATCGTGCGGTCAGTTTTCGTCAGGTACGGTTTATATTCAATTTTAAATAAAAAAATTTACAATAATTTCTGACCGCACGATGTACTATGAACACATGTGATTTGAGGCTCCCCGAGATCCTCACAATGACGATCCGGTGAGGATCCTCACTCATGGGAAATTAGTTTTTTTTTCTTTTCTTTTTTTCAGAAGATTAATTAAGGCAACATGTGGTAATTAAGTTGACGAAGTGTACACATGGAAAATAAAAATTAAATAAACAAAAAAAATTATTTAGTTATTTAATAAATTTTTATAGACATGATTTTCAAATGAAAGTTAAGAAATTAAACAGTTCTAGTTATAATATTTATAAGTAGAAGATCTTATATTTGACTTTTATAAATAAAGAGTGCAATAATAAATTATTATCGGCCCATTGTATAGTTTAACTAACTTTCATTCTCATGCTATCATGTAAAAATGGATTTGACTTCAATACTTATATGTATTGAATACAATCACATTCTCAATGTTCAAATACTAGTTGTATGAAAGGTAATACTATCCATACACCTATTTTTATCTCCTATACACTTTTGTTAATTTTTGTTCATTAATCTTCTTCGATCCATTCATTCTGATGGTCGAAAATTAAGAGGTGTGTATGAGAGGTAAAAATAAGTGCGTGAATAACACAACTGTTGTGTAAAATATATATATTCATAGACATTATATATGAGCGTGGATAACCATTGTATTAAATAAAATAATAATATTCTTGTGTAGCACCATGTTCTCGTAAGAAAATCAGACAGACGCGACCGTAGGATAGGTACCCGGTTAAAAGAACGGCCACAAACAGATCTTCCAACAAAGCGGGGCCCATCGCAACGGAGGCTGAAGCAAGCGTGTGGGCGCACACGTGGAAGTGGGGCCCCAGTAGTTTAACCGGCAAAAAATAGAAGTTGGTTACGAAAAAGGGAGCAGAGGCGTTTTATAGAGCGGGATTCCAACCTCCTCTTCCAGAAGAGAACAGCTTTTCGGCTGAGAGAGAGAGACGGTCAGGTGTTGGTGGCGGCGCACGGTGGTTGAGGTGGTGGTTGTAGTGGCACGACTCGTCGCCTGCTGCTGCAACCAACTGTGAACAACCGCAATCTCCACGGCATTTCAAATTAAATTAAATTTCAATTTTCATTTGGATAATTTTATGTTTTAAAATTCAGAAATTGAAAATATCAGCTTCTTTGGCGTTGTTCGTTTTGGCCTCGCCGATATGGTCAATAGTATATGAGTATATACCCTCTCTCTCTCTCTCTCACTTTCTCTCTCTAAAGCTTTTGTATTTGTGCGCGACATTGGTGATTTCCTAGAAGCCTCCAAAAATCCCCACGCGCATTTGCCTCCTCCCCTGCCGGTACATTCTCTCCTAGAAGCCTCCAGAAATCCCCACGCGCATTTGCCTGCTCCCCTACTGGTACATTCTCTCTCTCTCTCTCTCTCTCTCTCTCTCTCTCTAAACTGAATCTTTGAGCTTCTTCAAGCGATCCGGATTTTAAGTGTTTTGGTAGGATCTCGACTTTTTGCAATTTTTTTCTATCATTTTTTCATGCGATTTCAGGTTCGGAATGTGAAGAAATTCGATTTTTTGTGTAAATTTCGAGTATTTAATTTGATTTTTTCTGTTTTATGATGCACATTGTTCTTAATTCTTAGCATTTTCGTCGATCAAATTTCAATACTTTTATGTTAAATGAGTGATTGTTGTGATGCAACCAGAAAATAATTCAAATTTTGCAGGATTTTTTTTTATGAAGAAAACGTTCCACTAAAAAAAAAAAAAAAAAAAAACCGATCTCCTAAAAATTTATTTTTTATGATTGTGATGTTCTTAGAATTTGATTTTATAGATTCTTATGGAAGCTTTTCGTATAATTAGATCTGCGAAATTACGAAAAAATATCAGCTACAACATTTGAATTGTGATCATAGTTGTTGTGGAAATACTATTAGAGTGAGTGATGCAGTTCAAAAACGTGTTTCACGAGCTACTCGAAATGAGAGATGACAAGGGGAAGAAATCACGAAGAGGAGGGGATGAGAGGAAGCACACGCGCCGCCGAGCTAAATCTCACATTGCCCCAGAGCATACGTTGTCATCACCTGCATCAGTTGAGCAAAGCAAGTGGGCAAACTTGCCCCCAGAGTTGCTTCTTGACATAATCCAACGCGTCGAAGCGAGTGAGACTTCCTGGCCTGCTCGGAGAGATGTGATTGCTTGTGCTTCGGTTTGCAAGTCATGGAGGGAGATTACGAAAGAGATAGTCAAAACTCCAGAGCAATGTGGCTGGCTTACCTTCCCTGTCTCACTCAAGCAGGTATTTTTCGATAAACAACATTCTTTAGGTTATTCTTATTGAATGTGACTTTCACTTACCTACTAAAGATTTTCACTTTCCTCATTACTTGCGTATATTTACTAGCCGGGACCAAGAGATCATCCGATCCAATGCTTTATTAAGAGGGAAAGAGAAACTTCAACGTATCTACTGTACCTTGGTCTAAGCCCCGGTAAATGTTTGGATGCTTCTCCCCTTATTATTCGCGAATCATGACTTGGGTGTGTTAGAAATCGGTGTTCAAATTCTTTCGCAATGGATTTGTAAACGTGTGACTAACTCTTTCTTATAAATCTACAGCTCTGTGTGGGGATGTGAGTAAGTTATTGCTGGCAGCAAGAAAGGTCAGAAGGGCAACAAGTACACATTTTGTGGTGTCCTTGGCTGCAGATGAATTCTCTCGAGCAAGCAATTCTTACGTTGGAAAATTAAGGCAAGCTTAAATAAAATGTATCTTTATCATTGACACGGTCATTCATTTTTCATTTTGTGCTGTTACACCTACGACTCATTCTTCTTTTCGTGCAATTTATTGGAAAATGCTGAGCAGGTCTAATTTTCTGGGTTCCAAGTTTACCGTTTATGACAGTCAGCCTCCACAAGGCTCAGGCCATCCAAACAAATTACTGGTCACATCGAAAGATGAATCCAATGAAGGTATCTCCAAGGATACCTGCTGGTAGCTATAGTGTTGCTACCGTATGTTACGAGCTCAACATCCTCCGAACAAGGGGACCAAGGAGAATGCAGTGCATCATGCAATCAATCCCCGTGTCAGCAGTTCAAGAAGGGGGCGTTGCTCCTACTCCAACAGAGTTAGCGACTTGCCTTCCTCCAAAATGCTGTCCAATGCATGTTTCAAAGGGATCTAAGCAGCTTGCCAACTTGTGCTCTAGTGTCCCCACAACGGATTTGGAACAAGGCACAAAAGATCCACTCATTTTGAAAAATAAAGCTCCTAGATGGCATGAGCAGCTGCAGTGTTGGTGTCTGAATTTTAAAGGACGCGTTACTGTGGCCTCTGTGAAGAATTTCCAGCTGGTGGCCGGTACAGAGCCATGCCATAATGTTCCATTGGCCGAACAAGAGAGAGTAATACTGCAATTTGGGAAGATCGGTAAAGACATTTTCACAATGGATTATCGCTACCCTCTCTCTGCTTTCCAAGCCTTTGCAGTTTGCTTGAGCAGCTTTGACACAAAACCAGCATGCGAATGATTCTTGTCTATTCTCTCATCACATGACTATCGTGCTCGTCTTCCCTTAGAATTGACCGTAATTATACTTTTGGAATGCACTTTAAGCTATGGCTTTTGGTCATCGGCAAGTGCCTTCGTTGAAGTCGCAGTAGTCTGTGTAATGGCATTAACCTGTATAAAGCATGGTGTAAGTTGCCAATTTATTTATTTGCGCGAAAGCAGTTGTGTGCAACTTCCTCCAAGTATGTAACATCACTTCTAGATATTCCATGTTTCACTTTCTGGAGGATGTACGAAAATCCCTCTTTTCTCATAAAGATCTCTTGTATTGAATCTTGTTATTCAAATGTAATTTTGCAGAATTTTGTACATGCTTCGTATTAATTTCCTATTCTTCCTTTGTACACATATGGTTACAGTTAGGCGTGCTACATATTTTTCTTACATCTCTGCTGGCAGATCTTAATCAGAGAATCCCAGTATTGGTATCGTCTCTTTTCATTCCGCAACTATAGCGGCAGCCATGACGCCGAGGCTTTTCAGGATTATCCGGGTCTGAATCACTTGGTTCCATGAAGAGCCCTCGAAGGCACCTCCGTCTCACAGTGGATTCATGAGTAACCTTCTCAGACGGTGTTTTTGTTATTTGAGCCTTGTGTGTTTTGATGGGATCTGATTTACCATTTGGCTTGATTGATTCTGCTGGGTTATGAGAAAAAACCGTCTGAACACCTGGATTCCTTTCCGCCACAGAAGTATTGAAAATGATAGCATTATTGATGCTTTGTACATTGCTGTTGATATATGCTATCATATGTCGATCTTCTTTACTCGTTTGATCGAATTTTTCCTCCTCGCTGCTTACCTCTCCATCAGTAGTAGCCTCCGGGCTGTCATCTGGATTGGTCTTATAACTGCGGTGTATGGGCACGAATTCTCCTCCTTTTTCCGGTTCTGAGCTAATGTGCATTGATGCTCCTCTGTTTTCACCAGCTACAGTTACGATGCTAACCGGTTTTTCATGCATTTGGTCCTCAGGGGCCAGCTTATTAAGCTTCAAAGCATTTTCCCTGATTTCTTTATGCAGGGGAGCTTGTTCCATGGTTGATGACACCATCTTCTGAATAGATATCCTTGGGGTGCTTGTGTCTTTTGAAGCTTTGGTCAGTTTCGAACTGGAGCTGGCGCTGGCTAATGTCTCCATTCTGTCAAAAGCTTCTTCCTTGCTGTGCCGCTGCTCTGCTTGCGATGCAACTTCAAGTAGGTCTTTGGTGTGGTTTCCGAAGCCTGTTACTGCAGCATGAAGTTGAGTGGCTGTTTCTTGCATCAGTTCTTTATAGTCTGGATCGTTCGCCTTTTCTTCTTTTATCACTAGCAGTACTTTCTCCCTTTCTTTATGCTCTTTCAACTCTGTCTCTGATTCGGGATGGTGCTTTTGATCTCCGCCAATGGTATCAGGATCTACCTTCTTGGGTGAGGCAACGGTTTCCACAGCCTCAGCGGAAGCTGCGTGAGTTTGAACGGTGGTTGGAGTATTATTCTGAGCTTTGAAAATAGTTTCGGATGTGCTGATTTCTGCATATGGTTCCTTTGGTTCTGGTTGAGTGGCAGGTGATGGAGATTCAGTGGAAAAGGAAGGAAGCTGAGAGTTTTCTTGAGTGTGTGGCTGCGATTGCGCTTTAGGGGATTCTTGTGATGCTGCTTGGAGTTGAGAAGCTATGGGAGATGGTGAGGATCGAAAGGATTCAACCCGAGTCTGAGCTGTTGCACTGGAAGCTTTTTGGGACTCAGTGGCAGCATGAGACGGTGAGGGTGGAGAGGATTTAACTTCAACCCGAGTTTGAGTTGTTCCACTAGAAGAATTTTGGGACTCGGTGGCAACACGAGATGGTGAGGGTGGAGAGGATTCAACTTCAACTTCAACCCGAGTTTGAGTTGTTCCACTAGAAGAATTTTGGGACTCGGAGGGAGAACGAGATGGTGGTGGTGGTGGAGGTTCATTCCTCGATGGAGACTGAGCTTGGGAAGGAGAGGCTTTCATAGGGGCTTTCCCTGCAGGCCGAAATGGTGGTCGCTCAACAGGGATTGAGGTGGTGGTCTGGGCAGGGTTTTGGGTTTTAGCCACTGGACGTGGGTCGGGTTCTACTTGAGAACCACGAGTACGCCAAGGGAGGCGAAAGCGAAATGCTTGTGGTTGCTTTTTGTCTGCCATGTATGGTTTGGAAATGTGAAGGTTGGCTTTGTTGAAGAAGATGAAGGATGCTCACCACTTAACGAAAGGTCTGGTATATATCGAAATTGTATCAGATACCTGGGAAACTTTCTGGGATTTCTGTCAAATTGGTTTATACCTTTTCTGTATATGGATGCTCACCTCTCTTGCAAACTTATGATTCACGAGAAATCGGAAATTCCCGAAGGCAGGTTTTTCTTCCCTAACAGGTATGGAATCTCCCATTTTCTTGTTTCGGAGGATCCCAGAAAGGCATGCAGAGTACGTATACTTTGCTGGAATGCCGTTTTAAGAGCATAGTCATTGTTCACGTGATTCATAAAAAGGGTTGCTACTGTTCGAAAATTTTCACGTTGTTTTCTTTTAAATCAATCACCCCTTCTCGGAAGAGAAACTTACCTACACCTGAGATTCCACGGTGGCTCTGGAGTTTCGATATAAACTTTCCATCTGGGCAAGTAACCTGGCAAAGAAGTAAACAATGTAGAAGCAAAGTAATTTTTCCTTCATGCACTCATTCAAGAAAGGAATAAGATCTAAGCAAAGTGTCAAGTAAGAGATGACTTGCACCAGCATCTTGCTCCTTCGGCTGCTACACCGAATTACCATACATGAGGCAGCGTACCCTTTCTCCGTCATAACAGGAGCGTCCAATCGAGTTCTGAGGTAGCTTTTCGTATCTGCACACCAAGGTCTGTATCAATAGTTTTCATCCATTTCTTTTGTCAAAGTTTTCGTGATTTTCCTTGAACAGGAACAAAAATGCAAGGAATTTCGCGGGCTGTGCGATCATGCCAGGAAATACTAAAGTCTGCAATTTTACAGCATTCGCGTGGGGGAGAAGTTGCCAGGTTAGAAAAGATAGTTTCGCGTTTAAAATGGGTTGCCTCTCCACCTGCACAGGAAAAAGGACTGGAGAATGTAACTGTGGCAGATGTACTGGCGACAAAGGGTAATGAAGAAACCGGACCCTGGCTCTGGTGTCACACGAACGACGCAGTAATTGATGCAGTAAAAAACGTACGATCTTACCATCCATCCGTACATATAAAATTCATACCATACTCGTGTATATATTATGTATGAGCATGAAATTGCAGATGGCGAAAAACAATATCGGGTCGTTACTGGTGCTAAAGCCAGGAGAGCATCAGCATATTGCAGGAATCATCACAGAAAGAGGTAAGTTACTTACAGAACTAACTGCATGAAAAAAATTATGTCTCAACAAGTTATTCGGATTCTATTGACCGCGGTGTGAACCGAGCAGACTACCTGAGGAAAGTAATCGCGCAGGAAAGATCTCCCATCTACACAAGAGTTGGGGAGATTATGACTAATGAGGTCAGTTCAAGTTTACGTTCTTAGCCACCAATCGACTTTGGACGCACGATTTTTCTTATGAACTTTACCTCTTTAACAGAACGAATTAATAACAGTAACTTCCGACATGAACGTTCTTCAAGCTATGCAACTTATGACAGGTACGCCGTGGCACGATTTCTGTTCTGTTACTACCATAGACATTGAAGTGAACAATCATTCAGTTGTTTATAAACGTGTGGAAGCAATTACGTGACGATTTTTTCATGTCAACAGAGAATCACATAAGGCATGCTCCAGTTATAGATGGGAAGCTAGTTGGCATGATTTCGATCAAAGATGTAGTCCGGGCAGTGGTTGAGCAGCAAAGCGGGGAACTGAAGCGACTTACTGGGTACATCAAGGGAGAATACTATTAGAAGAACACATCTCAGTTTATGTTCATCAAATTACAGTAGAGCAAATTTCAAAACTACCTCCAACATAAAGCTTTCTAAGACTTTCATGTGTTAGAAACGGAAACTGTAGTTCAGGTGATTAAGAACGTTCATCCCTGAAGTCATGTATTTGAATTCCCGATCTCCATATTGCTTGATTAATAAAGAATCAATTATAATTTTCAATGACTAGTTTTCAAGGGAAAGAAATAAACGAAAATCGCAGGATTTCAGAGCGAAATCCAAGTCTAAACTTGACGAGCCAAAATGATTTTGAAAAACTTTGATTGAGCCTTATTTCGGGAATCACTTAGGCCGCCTAATAAATGCAGAGGTGAGGGTATCCCTTTACAAAAAAGGTTCCATCACTGTCATTTTAAGATTCCCTTCCCTCTCTTGATTTAGGGACCCCGTTTATTTTCAATCTCATATTCTCTCTAACCTCTCAAAGCCCGAACATAAAATGTAACACCACATTACAATAACAAAACATCGGGACACCCAACCACGGACACAAGCTAATTTGGATGAACTACGGCAAAATCCTCGTGTTCTTGTGCGTGTGTGTATGATTTCACGGTGTCAATCTCGTTGATCCATTTTTGAGCACCTATTAACCTAATTGTAAACCAAAAGGGGAATAATATGGTATCTCGACACGAAGTCGGGCCACAGAACAATATTCGCGATCCCATTTGCCTCCAATTTCGAAAGCAACATATACTCTATCTAGTGTAGTTGCAGATTCAATTTCAATTTCTTAGGAACTCAATATTTGATATGTTTGGCATGCTATAAAGAGCGACGTCAAGCCAATAAGTCTTTATGTTTTGCAAGAGTTGAGGGATGAGGGATAGGGAACGTCTATCGTGTGCAAGTTTACCTTTGCTTTTCAAAGATATTTCTAATGACTTGAACCCGTGACCTTTCGGCAATGTCATAAAGCATATACCACAAATATTGCACAACTCCCATTGGCTGGCAGATGAACCTTCTTATCTTTTCGAACATTCTATCAACACAGGATTGTTCAAAGATCAAAAGACCTCAAGATTTTGATGCAAAAATTCTCCTCTTAGAGTGGTTCTCCTCCAAAGACCAAAGCTTTTTGGTGGCAGATGATTGGACCTTGTGTGGTGGGGGAAGCTGGAATCCAATTCCTACAAAGTCAGTGGTTCTTGTTCTAAGCTATTAGTGCTTTTTGGTGAGACCAAATAGCCTATTTATATAATCTAAAAGACGTCAGATGTCAAAAGTTTTGGGTCCTCAAAAGTCATAGACTGTGAACGGAACATCTTATCCGTCATCTTCCTAGCTGTCTATTTCTGAACACTTTTCTTTAAGGCCATGATGAGGAGGAAGTCATTGGTAAGGATGGAAAAGGATTCTCGCGGAGATCCCGTAATCATGTTTGTTTATCGTATATCGTGCGGTCAGAAATCATTTAAAATTTAAAATTAAATATAAATAGTACCTAACGAAAATTGATCGCACGATATACGATGAATGACACAATTACGGGATCCCCCAGATTCCTAGGAAACGGATCCAACGAGGATCCTTTTCTGGTAAGGATGGCCAGATCTCATGGCTGTTTAATTGAAGACATATTGGGTGGGGTCAAAATACAAAGAGAGTAATAGGTGCGAAGTTTTACCTCTTAGGTCAAATAGTCATGAAGTCCGATCATCCAAACTTAAGAATTTTTCTCTGTCGGGAGGAAATAAGTCAAACGGTCACGAGGTTTGATCATGCAAACCTTAAAATTTCTCTATGCTGACAGTGGGAGAGAAACTTACCTCTTGCGAATGCATAATTAGTTTACAACAACGCATATTGCTTGAAATACTGCCACAATAACATCCTTGTCGGAGAAAAGTTTATCCTAAAAGCTAAGGGACTAACTTACAATTTGGAGGGCTGGGGAGACCTTATAGCTGGGAGAACTAGGAACAGAGATTCCACAAGAACTAAAAGGGATCCATAACCTTATCACAACTTTCCCACAAGTGGACTTGAGATATTAAAAATTCAAATAATCAAATAGATTTGGTGGATTTTTCAAACAAAGATTTCAAAGAACATTTACCTGAATATATATATATATATCAGTGTTTTGAAAAAATTCGTCCCAAGGTGCGCCTAGGTGGCTTTGGAGGCGGGGTGTGAGGAAAATCACCTTTCTTTTGTAGGAGTGGGCGAAAACTCGCCTAGGCTTCATCAGGGGCACCCAGGCCGCCTGGGCGCGCCTGAGGCATTCAATGGGCATCCAATTTTTCTTTTTTTGAGTTGCCTAGATCTGAAACTTTGTGATCAAGGGGCCGTCTTTCTGAAGAAGATGAAGAAGTTGCAGTCTTCCAGCGAAGAAGATGAAGTAGCGAGCGCCTTTGCTTTTCCTTTTCTTAATATTTTTTTCTTTTTAGGTTTAAAATGACCCTACTTTGCTGACATTTATTATTCCACTATCATCCTTTATGTTCACTTTTTATTTTTTATATTATTTTTTTTTTTCATACTCAAAATAGATAAGCATCTTTTGGTTTTTATGATTTTTTTAAGATAAAGAAGCATATTTTCCTGGATATTCTGCCAACTTTTTTTTTTAACGTTATATTATTTAAAATATACATTATCTTATCTTTATTTATTTTTTAGGACTACATATCTTACTCAAATATTAGTCAAAACTCTCATAATTCATATAAATATGCACTTACTTAAGACTAAATGTCTGATTTCCACTCTATTTGTTTGATGGTTGATTAATTTGATTGCTTGGTTAAACTTGTTTGTGATGTGAGTTCAATTTGTATGTGACATGTGCACTTTTGAATAACAATGAATATTTATTTTACAAAGTATTATATTTTTATATATTATATGTAACTGTGTATAGTATATATATTAATAAAATTTAGGTATCGTGAGACTTCGCCTTCTCAAGGCTTTTGCCTAGGCAGGGCTATCCATGAGACGCCTCACCCACACCTCCGCCTTTCAAAACATTGATATATATATATATGCGACCTACTTGCTCCTCCATTGCTGCAGCATCTCCTAAGCCAAAGAATCCAAGCAACTCGTCTGAACAGACAAACTCCTTCCTGCTCATAAAAAACATGTTGCACAATGTAAATTATTCAGACACAACACCGACGCAACCATCAACAACAGAAGAAAAAACATCTATGACACGTTATGTATTTTGTCAACAATTCGCAAAGCTTGTTATAACGTGTCACGATGAGAGAATTAGCGTGTCAAGACAAGTTATGGCTTATCAAGACATATCATGCACTATATTATGGCGACAATTTGCGAGGCTTGTTATGACAAGCATTTTTTTAACACTTTGCCTACTATTTTGGAATAATTAAAAAAAAAAAATTGATCTAGTAAAGAGTAGACCCAAAGCCTAAAATTATTCTTTTAGAAATTAGTACAAAAATGGTTACATATGAACGTGTTCTTACAAGTAAGAACACCAGATTTGGGTGGGGTTGAATACAAGGGGAGTAAGAACAGGTGTGAAGTTTCATCTCTTAGGTCAAATAGTCAAGTGGTCCGGTCATCCAAACTTAAGAATTGCTGTCTGCTAGGAGCCTGGGAGGAAATAGGTTAAACAGCCACGTGGTCTGATCATCCAAACCTGAGAATTTTTCTCTATTAATAGTGAGAAAGAAACTTATCTATTATAACAGTACATAATTAGTTTAAAATACCACTATATGACTTGAGATACCACTGCAATAACATTCTTGTTGGAAGAAAAATTCATCTTAAAAGCTAAGGGACCAGTCAAACAATTTGGAGGGGTGGGGAGACCTCATAGTTGGGAGAACTCAGAACAAATATTCCACAGGAACTAAAAGGGATCGAAAACATTATCACAACTTTCCCACAAGTGAACTTGAGATATTAAAAATTCAGAGAATCAAAGAGATTTAGTGGATTTTTCAAACAAAGATTCCAAGAACATTTACCTATATATACACTAGCTCATTGCTCCTCCATTGTTGCAGCATCTCCGAAGCCAAAGAACCCCAGCAACTTGTCTGAACAGACAGACTCCTTCCTGCTCATTAAAAACATGTTGCACAATGTAAATTAATCAAACACAGAACACAAAAGCGATCATCAACATTAGCAGAAAAAACATGTAAGTAGTTGGATTGATTCGTTGCAACAAGTGACTGAGTGTCTGTGCCTAACATTAGGGTCCACGATGTTGGTGCGGCTAATAAAAAAACAGCAAACATTAGGGAGCCTAACTTAAAGGTACATGACAACAGAAAATACCCTCTTCTAGACTAAGTTGTTAAACTCACCATAGAAAGACAAAAAAATCAATTGGATTCGTCTACAGCTAGGTCCAACAAACAGGTCATGTTTATTGTGTTCGTATTGTTTTCGTATCATATTCATTATTTTAACGGGTTATGCAAGAAATTGATATGCTAATGTCTAGATCAGGCAAAAAGGGTATATTATGAAGTTCTTAACGGATGACTCAATATCTTATCAGATTTTTAACAAGTGATCCAATATCTTATCCGGCAAACAATATCTTATCCGGTTCTTGAAGAATTCATTAACAAAAGCTGAATGTTCAAATTTGAAACCAAATCCAATAAAAAAAAAAAAAACCAAACGGCTCAAAGATTTCTGCATCAACACCTTCAAAAGGTAACCCACGCAACCCCAATTTACATAAATGGCTCAATGATATCAAGCATTCCTCTTATAGAATACTAAACTAAGAAATTTCCTACACAATAATACTGCAACACATGTTTTCATAAATTTGAGACGGCTAAAAAATTTCCTACACGATAATACTGCAACACATGTTTTCATAAAGAAATTTCCTACACAATAATACTGCAACACATGTTTTCATAAATTAACACATGTTTTCATAAATTTGAGACCGCTAAGAAATCTCCTACACAATAATACTGCAACACATGTTTTCATGAATTTGAGACCGCTTGATTGTTGAATTTCTTGTCCATTCTTAAATTGTCAAAAGTTTGAAATTATGAAAATTTGTTTTACTAACACTTTTAAGGGTACGTTACTGAAGGGAAAATTAATCTTCTCGAGCAAATACAAAAATTGGATTTTGAAAATTGACTATTGCGGCTAGTAAACTGCATACCAAAACTGACACGGAACTAAACAGCAACACTTGGTTGACAGCCCCCTGCTGAGTGCTGATTCAGCCAGCAGCTTGGCCTGCAAAAATCCGTTTTGGAATGTAGCTTATTAGAAGCCTCTTTTTTGAACCACCAATTTCCAATTTCCAATTTTCAAGTTCCAATATTCAATTACGTACAAATCCCAATCTCCTTTTATTTATTTTTTTTATGTTACGTAATAACTTTTCTATCATTTATATAAAAATACGTAATGTATCATCTGTATTTTCGTTACAATGAAAATTTTCTCATAATCTAAAAGAGATTTTTAAATGTGACCGGCACACCGGGTATGTGTCACTATATAAATAATGAGATATGTGTGTTAAAAACTAATAAATTAAAAAATAAAATTTTCCACTCCTAAACCCGATAAGTAAGTAACAAATTCCCGAAGGTACAATTTTACCATCACTCGTATTCTCGTCACAATGAAAATTTTCTCCCTAATCTAATAGCAGGCCCCACTCTCATCAAGGTCGTAAAATAAAATTTCAGTATGTCAAAAACATAATATAATACACGAAATATATAATGATACTATTGAGGTGCCAAACCGTGATGGCATGCTGAAAATTTTATCGAGATACTGATGTACATCTGTTTTTTTTTTTGTTTTTTGAAACTTGATGTTTCGACTCTGACATGTTTAAAACGGATATGGGAGAGTGAATGAATGGGACAAGCAATTGACAAACTCACACAAATAAAAAGAAAAATTATCGTCAATCTCCTTCGTGCATGATCTGACCATTTTACATCTTCTTGGTTTCCATTCAAATCATCACCCTTTTTGTTCTCCATATCTTTTGTGATGAAGGCTAAACGATCACATTTTTCTAAATGTCATGCTACATATCATTATACCTATCTTGCCATCTTAATTTATTATTAACTTATTAATACTAAACTGTGTTCCCGGCACACTAAAAAATCTCTTCTAAACATGAGCATTCAATGTAAAACTAATTGTTTACCAAAAAAACTTAAAATTAACTGATAGTAAGAGAACAAATTTAAAACTTTTTAAGCACTAATGTTAGACTTCTCATGTGTTGTGCTTACAACACATGTCCCACATGCAAATTTTTTAATCTTACACACGACTAATTATTGTTGAGTAATATGAGAATATGTTAAGTTGTTAAATTGTCGTACAAATAACTTGATTACGATATCATGTTAAGAACGTATATCCAAAGCTAACTCACAACTTGAGTTGAGATCAGAAAACTTTTTAAGCAGTTATTCTATACTATCATTATTTGAGAAGACAAAGAGTATCTTATACATACGTGTTCCTTGTGGGTTTGAAACGAGGGGCGAATTGGGATCTAATCCCCACAGGCTGTAAATTCTCAAAAAATCCCATTTGTTCAATCAAGCGAATCCCATCTTCTTCTGTCCTTAAAATATTCGTCGACTTGTCAAAAAACCATCACTGTAGCAGTATCCGAAACCAACGACAAATTTTTAAAGTTCACACAAATTGCCACAGCCACACGAGTCTCTCCTCCTCCACCTGCTTATAAGCAGCATGGCCACCTCTTGCCCATACCATCATTCCCTCGACTTCTTCACTATCTGAGTCCCTTTTGTAAACCCTCGTTTAACTTTAGCTCCCTAACACCATACACGTTATCCTCTGCCACTCCTCTTATCAGCTCGCGGCAACCGGCGTACGATTCAAACTTCCGGTTTATATCTTCACATAAGATCGCAATGGCATCGGTTTCTTCCTCGAGGAATTTGAACTCCTCGTGGACGCCGAAGGAGAACAAGCTGTTCGAGATGGCGCTCGCCGTGTACGACAAGGACACGCAGGACCGCTGGCACAATGTGGCCAAGGCCGTCGGCGGCGGAAAAACTGCGGAGGAAGTAAAGAGGCACTACGAGATTCTGGTGCATGATCTCATGCACATAGAATCCGGCCAAGTCCCTATACCGAATTATAAGTCCGCCGGCGGCAGCGGCAGCAACAGAGGATTTGGTGACGAGCAGAGGTAAGAGTAGTCATGTTTTCATTTGTCATAATCTCTTAATTGCTTCTAAGCATTCAAAGCTAATCCATCCTATCCCTATTCTTCTCCTTGAAAATAGCCAGACATCCTAGTGCATGAGAGATTTTTCAATGTGTCAGGAACACGGCTTGATCGCTAAGTGTCATAATATAAGTGGTTGGATATTTTGAAAAGAAATTTCACTACTGTATTATAACATTTAGTGTACTAGTCCCGACATACTGAAAAAATTATCCTCATGCATCATGGGTGTTAGAGGATTCTTTACTGTAACAATGTTAATCGTATCTCAGCTCTGATGGCATATTAGAATTTCCCCATCCAACTCAAAATAAATTGTCATGACTCAACAAGACGAAGATCGTATAACTATTATGTTAGCTTTTGATTCCCCAACGTGCAATTCACCTTCCCCACGTAAAATTGCATGAAAATATGTTCTTCCTTTAAGTGTAAACTATTATGTTAGGTTTTGATTCCTTAACGTGCAATTCACCTTCCCCACGTAAAATTGCAAAAGATTTTCCATGCTGTCTATATTCTTCTCCATGAAAATATGTCAATCGTAACTTGGTTTTGATACAATCTTAGTCTCGAGCATTCAACATAAAATTAATTATTGACTAAAGAAACAGAAGATCGCCTAAATTATTACGTATGGTTTTAATTCTCAGACATGAGAGTCACACTCTTGACATGGGATTCAAAAGCCATATATTAGTTGAAAGCTGTATGGGTTTGTAGTTTGTCCATGAATTTTTTTTTCCAGTGTTTTGAGAACACAGTTGGGCACATCAAGTGTTATTAATGGCTGGAAATTTCATTTTTCAATCACCCAACTACTTATATTATGACATTCGATGTATCAGATCGTATTCTCGACACACTGAAAGGTTTCTGCTTACCCTCTCTTTCCATAATGTTATTCACTATGTTTTCCACTTATCGAAGCGACAATTCAAACTAAAAACACTAACTTGAGTCCTCCCCAAGAAATTTTATATGTTTTTTTCTATATTTTTTGTATATGCATCCACATCCCATACTATATTCAACTGCAATTCCTAAGGAAGAAAAACAAAACAAAACAAAACAACAAAAAAAAACCACATGAAATCTAATTCGTACTTGTTTTGGATGGCACACGCACATGGTTCTACGACTAAAGTAATTGAGAAACATTGTGTGACGCCAAACACTCCTTTTAATTACTTATCACATTCTCTCATTAATCCCAAGGCTTGGAGAGATTTTTCAACATGCGAGGAAGACGGCTAAGTAGACCAAGTTTCGTAATATAATTGTTTCAAAACTTGAAAATAGGCATTTTCAATCAATTGTATCATGAATTTAAGTTGGTACATGGGGTTGTGTTCCCGAACACACTGAAAAATTCTCCTAGACTTGCTAGCAACTGTCATTGGTAGCAGAGATTTTTTAGTGTACCCGAAACACGGGGTGGTATGCCAGTTATTCTACAAAGTGGAGAAAAGTTTTTGTTTCAAGTTTCCCAACTTGTATAATGACATGATGTATGTGACTGTGGTTCGAGTACACTGAAAACTCTCCCCATTGTTGGATCTAGCTAAACCTCTTGGCAGCTTTTCTAGTTCATGAAAATGTTTATAAATATATACTACTTACACATACACAAACATACACCAAGTAATCCATGCGTTGCACCAGGGAATATATTAAAAACAGGACATCTTACTTAAAAAAGAAAGCTCCTAGCAAAAAGATGCTAATTCAGTCTGTTAAGCTAATTAAGTATGGGGTTGTGGGATTAGTAAGATAATGCCACTTATGGTGTTGGAATAATCACATTGCTTAATTAGCTCAAAAGATGCCTAATTAATTGCTTATGCAACTTGGAGGTTTGACATTATCTACAAAGATTTTATATGCATTACTTGGAATATAGAATTAATGTATATTTCTAGTGCTAATTACTCTCTAATCTAATCAGGCTTATGAAAAATTTGAAGATCTGATGGGAGGGAACAGAAGACTTGTAAAAAGAAGAAAAATGGATTAATCTGTCACTCTCTAGCTGTTGTTTTCCTTCCTTCCAAAAGCCAAGTGTGCAAGAAAATATATTTTATGTGTTTCTCTTTGTATTTTGTGTTTGGTTTTCCTATTCAAAATTATTATTTTATGAACTAAAACCACAATATGACGTCAAGAGGCTTGGAGTACAAGTAATCAGGATCGTGTATCTTTGCATGTGAGATCTTGTCTCGAATCTCTCTCCATAACATCGCTCGTATATAAAGTATAATTTAAAAAAAAAAAAAAACGCTGCAATAATCATACCAAGAAAAAGGATAACATAACCAAAACGACTAAGAGGAAATTGCAAACCACCAGAACAAGGAGAAGAGAACTAAAACAGCAAAGATAGCAGATCCACAAACAACGTTGCCGGCGAAACAATTCATCGATCAGAATATCGTAGGTGATGAGAAATCTCAGATTAACAAATGGATACAGGCAGATTAAGTAAAATATATTACTAATCAAATGCGTGATCGGTAACAGTATCAAAGCGCTTTGGTCCTTTCCAATTTGTTCCAATGCGATGCAAAAATTGAAATTGAAAAATGGAGATGCGGGGTATCGATCCCCGTACCTCTCGCATGCTAAGCGAGCGCTCTACCATCTGAGCTACATCCCCAATTGCTGAATACTGACGAATTAAATTTTTTTAAGGTTAACTTAAAAGTTGATGGACTTCGTTAGGCGCTTAACTTTGTGGCCTAATGTTTTTGTGTATGGCTTACCCATCCTTTTACCTGAAACGCATCATCACGAGAAATTTTGAGGTGCAGGAATCGGATTATGTGTCTGTGCGGAACCATACACACCAAAAAAAAAAAAAAAAACATTCATTACTCTACCCTCTTAATTTGTCGTGATAACTTGGCCCATGTTTTGATCTCCTCCCTTCTCACAAACCCCCTAATTTTTTTACCAAAAAACATAATATGTCACCCGTAGAGAAGACCACCTCCATGATCACGTGGACTCACTAGCTAAAGCGTTGTAATATGGTTGGACGACTTTTTGATACTTCATGAGTTTAGGATATAATTTAAACATAAATGAACATTTTATATTACAATAAATTAATAACACCACATGTCAGTATAACATAAAAAAAACGAATGCGATGAATTAAAACACCACATGTTAGTATAACATAATTTGTTAACAAGTAAAGAAAAACTCCATGAAACATGCCACACTCGAATTTATAGGTTTTGTTGCATACCACTCCTAATAAGGGAGCTTTCTGTTACCACAAGTTTATGCTAGAGAAAGGGCAAAATTCAATTTGGACTCTAAATTTAGCATTTCCTATCATTTTGACCCTAAACATTTACTAAATATATGCCTCGGATCAGCCGCACTTAATCCTATAAATAAAACACAATTTCAATCCTAATTTTAAGTTCACATAAATAAATTGCGTTTTCTTAACTATTTGTTTAAAGATACTACAAAAGACAAAAATCCAAAAAAAAAAAAAAAAAATGGCAAAGATTGCGTTCGTGTTGATTTTCACGTTGGTGTTGCTTATGTCGATCCAGGCGGTGTTGGGTGACGACGATTTCGTGGAAACTGCCAAGGATCACATAAACACCGCTGCCACGGCCGCCAAAGATGCGGCTGATAGCGTGTCCAAATCGGATGCCTTTAAGGAAGCGAAGGAGACGGCGTCAACATTGGGTGGTTGGTTTACAGACAAATTTCAGTAAGTTGTCACTTTTTTTTGGTTTAATTATTTACATATACATCAACAATTTTGCCAGATTAATTATGCGTTAACTCGAGTTTACTTTCTAGTGATATGGGTTTCGGCTCGGATGACGACGACGACGACGACGACGACGACCATGACAGCAGCTCAAAGGCACCGAAATCAGGATAATATGGTTGTTTTAACTGCCCAGTAATCTTCAATTTTTTACTGTTGTAATTACTTTTTGGTTTGTTGGACTTGGACAAAGATTTACCTAGTTGAATCTTTACCTCATGAGAGGAGTTGAGGCTAGAGATGTTAGATTCCCATATATTATTTGTAAAATAAGAGATTCAACAATGTTGTAACTAAAGCATATTTATGCAATTTTTGCATCCAACTTGTTTTTTAATATAAGCGATATTTAAGATTTCATGCGGTTGGAACTGTTTTAACCATTTCAATTACAAACTCTTATGAGGCTGACCTAATTGTTTTTAGAGAGTTTTAACGAAAAACTCACGGTACTGTTTACTTTAACGAAAAACCACATTTTTACACTAAAAAGTCAATCATGGTACTATTCATTTTACCCTTTATTTTGTCCTTATCATTAAAACTCAAAATTTTCAAGCCCTTTTCATTAGTTTTCCTTTGTTTTTAATCACTTGCGCTACGAAACTCATTTCATTGAGAAAATGATCTTGAACTTTAAAGACAATGACAATTATTTGAGGGCAATAATTGTGAGGCTTTTTATTTAAAATGGTTGCTAATCGTCATAACTCTTTTACTTTGATATCTGAGATTTAAAAACGATAGAAGTGGTTCCTGAGATTGTCCATCATCAATCACTTTTGTTCATCTATGAAATCTTTGTTACATTGAGTATATTTGTCAGATCAACCCCTCCTCTTGAACTGATGGTTTCTTCAATTGAACATAAATTTTTCAAAGAATGACCAAAATGATTGACGATGGACAATCTCAATGACTAATTCTATCGATTTTAAATCTCAACCATAGTGAGCAACTATGACAATCTCAGAGACTATTTTGGTTAAAAAGACTAATTGTGAGGATCATACACGAAACAGGAGTAAATTTTAGTGACACTTCACAATCATGGGAAAGACTTGCCTACAACGAAAATATTATTATAACATTTCTCAAACTAATTATGTGTTGTCTGTTTTATTTTATTTTATTTTTTTTTTTCCTACTTAACAGCATATGATTGCCTTAAAATAATGACAGAATTCAGGAATGCAAATGGTTTGCATGCACTTGCAGATAGTTACCGCACAAAGGAAATTGGGGCGGGCCTAATTGGGCCATCAATCTTTAAATTCTTAGTGGATTCGACTTATTGCATTCGATGGAAAGGCCCAATTGACCCAAGTCAGAGTCAACCATGCTAAAGTATCAAGAAGATCAAGAAAATATGGCATACTCATGTCTTCTAGACTTCGACCACAAAGTCTGTTTTTTATTTTTCAATTTTTGTCAGAATAGTCATGTCAAAGTGACACATTTTCTTCTCATATTTAATGAAGTATTTTATGCTTGGGGAATTTGTATCGGTAGATCTGATTATTAAATCTTTAACAAAAAATTTAACAACTAAAACTCTGAAGTACGAAGCGTACCAGAAAATTTTGGTAAAGTTGACTAACTAGAGCGGTTCTCATGCTCAGTAAAACTAATGTAAGGTCAAGTCACATTAAATGTAAACAGCGTGAGGTCAAGTAGAATCAAAATATTTAAGATGTCTTGTATGTTTGTCTAGCGGCAAAAGATCTACTTTTTTCAAACTTTGTGTCTCTTCTCTAATGACTTGACACGTATTTTCTAACTTCATAAAACTTCGTATTTCTTTTGTAATTACTTAACATGTGTCTTTCAACTTAAGAAAAAGTTAACAGTGTTATCACAAAAATAATAAAGTTATTAGTGCTAATCTTTCGTTAAGTTAAAGACATTTAATAAGCAATTAGAGAAGAGACACGAGGATCGAGGACCAGCACACGACCCAACTTTTTATCCATCAAAGTGTGGCTACAATTGAGACAAAAAAAAGACTTGCAAAATAACTCTTGGATATAGAAAACTACTTCAAAGTCTTCCTCACAATTCCATGGCATGGCAAAACTAATACGATAAGATCTTGTTAAACAAGAAATTAAGCTGAATAATTAGAGCAATAACAAAGTCCTCCCTTCACTACTGACGAACGATAATCATGCAGATATCTGATCTAGCTAACGCTAGGAGCCTAAGCCTGTTTCATGTTTATACAAATCTCACTTAATTAACACTTAAGCTTAATACTACACTTAATCTCCCTTTAATCTTCAGCTGCTGCCCCTCCCTCCCCTCCTTCTCCCTCCACGTTCTTAAAAGACAGACCTGTAGCTATGGCATTAGTAGTAGCAGCGACGTCACCCTGCTTCTTAATGGTGTTTTTGTTGTTATGCATCCAAACCCTAAGCACCTGCCTCTTCACTCCCACCTCCGCACAAAACCTCTCCACCTCCTCCTCATCCTGCTTCTGAATTCTCCACCCAACCTTCTCCCCAAACTCCATCATCCTCTCCTTCTGCTCCACCGTGAACTTTGTCCGAAACCGCTTCTTAGACGAAGCAAACGGCGGGACAGTTCCACCCTCAAAGGCATTCAGATCCTCGCTCGAACTCTCCGTCCCTCCTCCGCTGCTCCCGAACGCCACGTTCACAGGCTGGACAATCGGAGGCATCGCGTACTTCTGGTGGTGGTGGTGGTGGTGATGGTGCAAAGCCGAGGAAGGCGAAGGCAGCGGCGGCGGAAGCTGAAGCGGACTCAACATTATGCTCGACCTTCTCGACCCGGGACTGAAGGCAGCCGTCTCCCCGTCCACCTCCTTGCGGTGAAAGTTGCGGTGGCAGTCGCACGCCGCACATTTCAAAGCCTCCATCGTCCCCTCCTCGCCGCTCGGCATGAACTCTCCGCAGCCGTCGAACACATTACCACCAATGTTCGCCGCGTGGTTCTTGAGGCACTCTCTATACCTAACAACTTTTGCCAACGACTTGGGCCCCCCACCACCGCCACCGACTCCGGCTCCCTGTGGGGCCACCGGGGTCCCGGATAGGGCACGATCCGGATCTGGGTCGCGGATCAACGGCGGCAACGGGATAGCAGCTGGGTGGTAGTTGTCTAGGGTTTGGTGCTGGTGATGAGGAGCAGTGGGAGAACCGTAATTCCCAGTGCCATTGTGAATCCCAACTCTTCTCTTTTGCTGGTGATCTGCTGCTGCCGCTGGCGACGGCGATGATTCTTTGGTATTTAAATGAGCATAGCTTAGCGAGCCTGACGTCCTCATTTCGTTATCTTGTGCCCTAAAATCCATGGATTTTTTGATATTCTCTCACAAAAACACACAATCTTCAATAATTTAATACCAAAAGCTGTCACAAAAGCATCGTCTCATTGATTTCAAACGAGTATTTGTGTACTTTCTTGGGGTGCCGAGTCCTCCTCTTGTTAATTAATCTCTGCTGTTCTAAAATAACAAAAAGAAAAACACAAAAAGGCAGAAATATGTTTCAAATATATGACAAAATTAGAAGCCATATATATAGCTATGTAGCTAAATCTTTAAATGTATATCCATCCTGCTCCTAGTATATATAATCTTGTCTCGAAGTTAGTACTAAATATTAGGGTGCTAATCCCACCAAAACCCATGTCGTAATTTTCAACTGTTCTTCTAAAAACACAGCTTTATGGAGAGAGAGAGAGAGAGAGAGAGAGATGAAAGTACTCACAGTTTGTAAGAAAGAGAGAGATAAACAAACAGCTGCAACAGCATATTTGGCATGACTGCTTGAACATCTATATGGTTTTAGAGAGAGAGAAAGAGAGATAGAGCTAGACAGCTGGGTTTGTGCTGGGTTTAGGCTGGGTTTGTTCTGGGTTTAGAGCTGGGTCCATTGCGATGTTGGTGCTTCTGTGCTTCCAACAAGAGACAGGTTGGTTGCTTGTGGTGAGGCCAGCGGGAGGGATAAGAGTCCAACCAAACCAACTAGTATACCAAGTAAAAATAGAGAGAGTAGAGAGAAAAACTAGAGAGAGAGAGAGGAGAGGAGTGGGAGGGAGGAGGGGTGCGTAGTGTACTACACTGCACACACTGGCTTTCTCCCTTTGCAAGTTTGCAGATTACAAAACAACCGACAACGTCATGTTCAGACCTCTCCCACGCCCTGCCACAGTAGGACCCATCCCTTACCCCTCAACCCCTTCCTCCCCCTTCCATTATTGCCCCTGTTTTTGCCATTTCTTATCTCAACACACTTCACCTCTCAAATGACCCAAACTTGCCCATTTCCAGCAACCTTTCGATGCGACGTAAGCTTTGCCTTTGATGATCGTCACTTTTTGCTTAATGTTTCCTTAATTAAACACATACGAAGAAGACTAACCAACTTTTTTTTTTTATAGGCCATAAGGATACTACTGATTGATTGGTCAAATTATGATTTGAGCTGTTGAATGGTCTGAGCAAAGACTTTATATATATATATATATATATATATATATATAGGAAATCTTTAAGGGAAGAGATTTTTTTTTTTTTTTTTTAAATGAAGTTTAGTTGTGAGATTCACACTACATCGAACTTTAATGATCCGAACTGTCACACTTCACCTCTCAAATGACCCAAACTTGCCCATTTCCAGCAACCTTTCGATGCAACGTAAGCTTTGCCTTTGATGATCGTCACTTTTTGCTTAATGTTTCCTTAATTAAACACATACGAAGAAGACTAACCAACTTTTTTTTTTATAGGCCATAAGGATACTACTGATTGATTGGTCAAATTATGATTTGAGCTGTTGAATGGTTTGAGCAAAGACTTTATATATATATAGGAAATCTTTAAGGGAAGTGATTCTTTTTCTTTTTTTTTTTAAATGAAGTTTAGTTGTGGGGTTCACACTACATCGAACTTTAATGATCCGAACTGTCTATTTTTCAAGTTGCACCTCATAGATCATCCTTGCAAAATATTAGCCAAATCAGATATGTTTAAGACATCTAATTGGGTTCAAAGAAGTTAACAAATACTTTGTTATATAAGAAACAATAAAATTTTATCTTGATAATTAAATAAGCAAATAGTTTCGGATTGAATTGAATTTTTGCAAGAATGATCTATGAATAGAGACTTACAAAATAGACAGTTCGGATCGTTGAAGTTCGATGTAGAGTGAGCCTCACACCTAATCCTCATTTTTTGAAAAAAATGGAAATCCCTTTGCATAAAGGGCCTGATATGTATAGTCTATGTAGTTTTCGTTGTCGCAGTTTACAAATCAACTTGTGAGAGTGACAATGCGAGGGTAATTGGACTTTTGGATTTGTAAATCTTATCTCTTACTAGCTATACAGATTATAATACAAACAACTAATTTATCTTAAACAATTACAGTGATCGATAAGACAACTCAGATACGAATAAATCTTCATGTGTTAGCAATGACACAAAACACATGTTCGAAATTTGACAAATAACTCAAACAGTACAAACACCACGAACGTGCACTTCCTGTGCTACATTTGTTGAAATTGTAAAGAGATCAAATCATGATCCCTGAAATGCAACAATTAAAGCTTGTATTTTGCTAATTGTTGCAATTCAAGAATAACGACTTAGTCTTGAACATTTTTTCTAGACAAATTAACGTGCAGTGACAATGTGAGGAAAAATTAAACTTTTCAAAGGTGTAAATATTAAGCTTTCTTAGTTATACATATTGTTGTGTACACAAATGATTTACATGAAACAATTAATCACAAATATCCGACGCGAATAACGTAGCCCATATGTGAATAAAGCTTCATACACTTACTAATATGGTACAGACAACTTACTTATCTAAATTGATCATGGTGATTGAAAAAGGCAGATCAAAAGCCAATAGATCTTCATACACCAATTATAATACAAACACTTGGCTTATCTAAAGCAAACACGGTTATCGAAAAGACAGCTTAGACATGAAAAAATATGCATTCATCCGTTATAATACAGACAACAAACTTGGTTAAAAAAATTATGGTAATAAAAAAAAAGATAGCTAAGATACCAATAAATCTTTATTTGTCCGTCATAATACAAACAATTGATTTACCTAAAACAATCACAGTGATTGAGAAGATAGCTCAAACACAAATAAATCCTCATTCGCTCGTTATAATACAAGCAACTGACTAATCACCTCAAGTAATCAAGTAATTGAAAAAGACAGCTTAGATGCCAATAAATCTTCATGCAACTAACTTACCTAAAACAATTACGCGGTCAAATTGCATCCATACTTTCATATCTAACTGATGTGGGTTACAATTAATAGGATTATTCCATGCAAAAATAACTAAACAAAGAAGGGTGAAAGTGAAAAAGTACTGTTAAAGTGGTCTTGTCGTTTTTCCCTATCTCTCTTCTGTCTCTTTATCTCTCTTAATTTCAGTCTGTCTTTCACTAACTCTGTGAGTCTGATTCACATTCAGAAGCATCAAGGAGCTGAGGAATTGAAAGGGCTAGCGTGCGGCCTTCTGCAACGCTCTGATCTGATCACACAACCACGCTTGCCCCAACCAAACCCAATACCATTGCCTTTCCTTTCTCTCATGCAATCGAAGGCTCCCTCTCTCTCTCTCTCTCTCTCTCTCTCTCTCTCTCTCCCACGTCTTCCTTGGTACTTGCCTTTCCCTCTGCGATAGCTACCTGCTGCTACTATTCATCTGTTTTTCTTTTCTTTTCCCTTTTTTCAGTCCAGCTTTCCCACCAATTACGCTCAAAATTTTTTTTTTTTCTTCCTCAAAAAATTAATTTCAGACTTGAATTTTAATGCAGCTTATATGTTTTAAGGAACAGAAATAATGGAGAAGATGAATACGGAATCTGTCCTTCTATTTTTTCTGGTCAGTGATATGTTCCTTTCTTAACCAAACTAAGCAGTAAAAACAGTAGCTTTATTATTGTCCGGTAAATTAGAGGGAGAACGTACAAACACAGGTTTCATTTCGGTATAAAAAATGTGATAAGAGTAACATTTTTGGATAAATTAAGTCACAATGATTGTACGTCCACAATAGATTACTGGCATAAAAGTCATCACAATGGTTTAGTGACATCTTCTATATTTGCAAGTGTAAAATCTTAAGCTCAACTTAAGTAGATATTAAATTCGATACTAAATAATGATTTGACCCATTGTGCGACTTAATATTTATGTTTTTTTTTTCGAAACAATACTTTATAAGTTTGGGATAAATTATTTAATTAATTACTATTCAAATGTTTATACATGTGTTCGACACAACTAATATGTGATAAATTCAAAACTCATGTATTATAATATAAATGTGTATATAATATCACTTGTGATCCTAACAATTATGCACATAAAAAGTTTTTTAAATTCTACGTTTTGGAGGAAAGATTCTAATTTTCGAGAAATTTTTTAATGTGCTAAAAATAAGATTAGTACATCAAGTGTCATAATACAAGTGGTTGATTTTTTTTTTAAGTATCCAATCACTTGTATTATGACTTTAATTCACCCGAAACATCTTTCCGGCAAACTGAAAATTCTCTTCTAATTCTTCCTACTACTTCGTTGCCTGATGCTACTTCCATGGCTCACAAATTTAACAGGATGTTACTCAATTATGTTCGGCACGTCAGGAGTGTGATTATTTAGATACAAAAAGAGAAAACAATATCTAATAATAGCATGCTGCAAGCATGACTTCCATAACTATAACTCCTCCAATTTATCTGCAAGGTATTTTACAGAATTTTAGGTCTGAAATAAAAGATTGTTATCCTTGGAGTAATTTTTATTCGTTGATCGATGGCCCTTTCATTCGGCACCAATGAATCACTACGGTCAACTTTCGCCAAAGCTCAACGGGTGACTCTTGTAGCTAGTCTTCCTTTTGTCTTTGCACTCAAGAAGTGAAATTTAGTTTAAGTTACACAACAATGAGTTAGCCATAATATTTTGGTATTGGATTCACCTCTCATTGGAGACAAATGTAAAACCTTTTTTGAGAGAGGGTTTGATTAAGTCATACAATGGATAACCTAATTTGGTATCGAATTCGTCATTTTCGAGATTCGAACCTAAGATCTCTAATTTACAATTAAAGATAAATACTACCAGACCGTAATACTAAATGACTAAAACCTTGTACTTACAAATCAATGTAAATATCACTAGACCCTGAAGGTAAGCGGGAATAGTCTCCAAGTTCAGGAAAATAATTGATACAAACCTTAAACACGCCGTTTCATGTTTTGCCACTGAATCACTGATCAATGGGTAACTGAAGAGGTCCTACACCCTTAAAAAAAGGGGTAACGGTCCTACAAATGTGGGCCCGAAAGATTAAAAAAATATACAAAGGGTAAAAGCCCAACTCGTATAGTCAAACAAAAGCTGTGAGATCTAGCCTTTCAACGGTTCTATTGGGTCCACGGCCCACTATTTTTAATATTAGATTATTGATACAACCACCAATCACTATCAACCTGGGAGACAGATAGGGCCAATTACAGATTTTGTCACTCCTGGGGTCGTATGCAATTGATAATGATGTATTTTCCAAAAGGGCATTTGGGTCCTAAAGTATTAATTCTTGATTAAGGTTGGGGTAAATTACACAAAACTACCTCAATTATTGGTCTCACGACACTATCATACCTCATCTTTTAAAATTGACAATGTCATACCTCATCTTTAGAATTTGACCCAATGTTATACCTTCTTTTAACTTGTCGTTAATTTCTCAGTTAAATGCTGACGTAACTTGATCCAGGACCCACTTTTCATTAAAAAATTAATAAAATATTATTAAAAACTAAAAAAAATCATTTCATATTTTTTTAATATTAAAATAATAAAGAAAAGTTATTAAAAAAATAAAAAATAAAAACCTCATTTCGTTCCCTTCCCCACTTCTCTCTCTCTCCCCCATCTTCATCTTCTTCCCCCTTCCTGCAAAGAAGAAAAAAAAAAATCCAATTTGTCTTCCCCCCTCCCCACCCCCCCCCCACCCCCTCTTCTCTCCGCACCCACCCTCTTCCCTCCACACCCATTCCCCCGATTTTCTCTACGCCTAGGTTCTCCACCCGCATAATTGACCTGGCGAAGGTTTCCCGATTCCACCTCAAAAGGGATTTGGGTTTTTTCTTTTCTTTTTGGGTTGCAGGTAGTGGGTGGGTGCGGAGGGTTTAGGGAAGACGGGAGGGGGAAGAAAGGAAGGGGGTCGGTGAAGATGAAGATGGGTTTTTTATTTTATTCTTTTATCGCAGGTTAGGCTCAGGTGGGGGCGAAGAAGGGGTGGGGGGAAGACAAACTGAGGGTGGGTGTGGGGGGGAAGACAAACTGAGGGTGGGTGTGGGGGGGGAAGACAAATTGGTTTTTTTTTTTCCTTCTTTTGTCCGGGTTGCAGGAAGGGGGAACAAGAAGAAGATGAAGATAGGGGAGAATAAAGAGAAGGGTGGGGGGGGGAAGGGGACGAACTGTGGTTGTTTTTTTTATTATTTTTTTTTTTATAACTTTTCTTTATTATTTTAATATTTAAAAAATATTAAATGATTTTTTTTTTTAGTTTTTAATAATAAATTTTTAATAGAAAGTGGGTTTCGAAACAAACCACGTCAGCATTTAACTAAGAAATTCACGCCAAGCTAACGGAAGGTATAACATTGGATCAAATTCTAAAGATGAGTTATGATATTGTCAATTTTAAAAATGAGATATGATAGTGTCGTGAGACCCATAATTGAGGTAGTTTTTGTCTTTTACCCTTAAGGTTATTTATGGTGATAACTTACCTATTTTGTTAATCACTTAGCACTACAGTTTACGATGTATTTCTACAAATGTAAGTAGAAGATTTTAAATTTAATTTTGTGAATAAAGAGTACGGTACTAAATTATTGTACCTAGTCTATTGTGTGAATAACTTAAATTTTTATTATATAAAAAGATAAATGAAATCTTCTTCCTTCTTTTTTTTTTTAACAAACTATAACTGTAGTTGGTGAAATTGTTAGTTATTAAGGAGAAAAGAGGGTCCATAAAGATCGAACCCACACCAAGATGTATACGCATCATTGTTTTCCGCCATTGCGATAAAGAATCATCTGCAAAAGAAAAATAAAGTTAAACTTGCGACTTCTTTCGTCATAGCACTAAATTAGGTTTTTGAGTTTTCTTTGTGACATTCAATACTAGGACATGGCTATGGTTATGATAAGATTCTCAAAATTTGTATGCACTTACAAAAGGACACGCATTGCATTATTACCAAATCATGTCAGAGTAAAACTATCGTGTTCTGACTTGTCGAGAACAAAATTTATCCGTGTAAATATTTCACTAAAAGTACGAACTAGTTAGTATTAGAAAACTCATCAACCTCATTCTAACATATAATTGTTGGTTTAATTTATGGTATATTCTCTCACAGAAAAGATTGCAACGAGGGACGAATTGAAGCATTTGATCAGAGCGAAAGAAAGATCTCCTTCCTCCCTCACGCCCCGACGCCTCAAGGAGCATCACGCTTGATCAAAGAAAAACAAAACGAAAAGGCGTCGGGGCGGAGGCGTAAAACTCGGTAATTTCCAATTGTAACTAATGGGGTGACCCAAATGATCCATGAGCTTGGGGCCTTCCGGACATCATCACAATTTCCACTTTTTGATCATTTGGGCACAAAACATGAAGATCATTGGCATCATCCTCAAATTTTTGAATGCAGAATTGGATCGAAACATCGTGAAGGCACCGGTACCTTAGCATTAGCGAGCAACCGTGAAAAGCCGAATGCACAAAAAGACTCCTCACTGAAGCTCATCATGTGTCACAGAGAAGCAGACTGCAAAAACACCATTAGTCTTGTCCCTCGAAATTTAGTTAACAATATGCAATAGGAACAAAAATGCACAAGGGCTGTTTTGGATACTAGGGCAAAATCTAAAGCAGCTAAATTATGGCCTCAGATGGTGAATCTACACCCACGCCGAGTGCTGGATAGCATCCACAGGTGAAGGGTGTTTTCCATGTCTACTGAACCTGCAGGCGTAAAGGCATTGATGCATTGCATTCTATCAAATCCTACAAGAAGTCCCGTCGCCCACTTAGAATCGATGTTTTCTAAATTGAAGACGATAAAACAGAGCACAGACAGAGTATTTATTCAATCCCAAAACATAATTACTGAATAGGGTTCAACACACTCTGATCCTTGGAAGGGCTTGAATGTCACAGAGCTTTCGGCAGCAAAATTTCCACAGGCGAACTATATTCTTGCACTGCCCAAGCTGAGTTTAAAAAAAAGATGGCGGATGGACCGACAAACAGCTCAATTCCACTCCCGATCAAGGTCCCCAGGTACAGGCCCTGCATCACATGGCATGGAAAAGGATAGTTCACCGTGAATGCATGCCCCATTCCTTCCATAAAAAGCAAAACAATTAAAACTTTTACATACATACATTTATTTCATCAAATAGCTAAATACGACTAAAACTGAACTATTGCTAAACTAATCCAGAGTTCATACTCAAAATAACAGTTACAGAAATCGGTGGTCACCGCAATCAAATAACAAGCAACAAAGAAAAACTGCAAATGTTGGTGCATCATGTAATATTGGTTCTAGAAAATCTACCACTACTACCCGCTGAACCAGATACAGGGACAATAAGAAGAGATTTTCGCAGAAGACTAGAATACAAATAAAACAGGACCCACAAGCAATGTTAAACCAATAGTTCTTACTATCGTGCATGGTCCTCAATTAGATTATATCGACCAAAAAAACTCTTAGGGCTCTCAGCCTCTAAGAAATTTCTTCACAATAAACCAATAGTAACAAAAACTGGAGAACCGCACAACTAATAGCATATATTGGTCAAAATCCTAAAACCATCAACAAAAGAGAAAACTTACAAAGACCTGCTGACAACAGTGGTGGCTGTAACTTGTTCTTCTACTTCTATACACCTTTACCTCTTTGGAATACTACGGCTCTCACTGAGCAATTACAATCATATTCCATAATTCATAGCTCGGGAAAAATACCAAGCAACTAAGCTGATGTGGATAGACTGGGAAACAACCTACGTATGCTTCTCGAGTGTTCTAAGATGAAGAAAAAGAGCTAATACATTAAGAGGCTGAAATGGTAGAGGAAATACTTTGGGGTCTCAACTGGGAAAGGTTTGGTGTAAAGAAAGGGAATTTACAAACACATTCTGACATATTTCTATGGCAAAAAAATTCCAAGTAACTTTCGCATTTTGGATAAATGCTGAAGCGCTGAAATGGAAAATACATAAAATTCAAGCGTTGTCATGGAAGAAGTAGAAAGAAAAAGTTGCTGGTTGTGGCCTATTTGGGATAATACAGAAGTACACAAACTTGGGATAGTACATGGAGAATAAAAGACAAAGAAAGCTCAGTTTTTAACCTTTCCATTTAAAGGCATTCACGTAACATTTATAAAACATGTAACTATTAAAAGCATTCACTTAACATTTATCAACATAGCTACATTTTATAAAATCTATGCCTGCCATTAAAACCCAAAAGAAAGAGTGCTTATTATCTTCTTACATTAAGCATGATGTACTAGGGCATGTTTACCTTCTGTTTCAGTGGAAGAAAGTAACTTTGACCTAAAACTAAATTTCACATAACATGTTGACACGGTTCTTTTAACAAAGGTAGAAGTGGCCGAATTTCCTTTCGCTTCTCCATTACGCCAACAAAGAGACACACGTTGTAACGTTAACTAAATGCCCTTAGCTCTAGGTGGTTTTTCAATCAAACAAGCATGGAGGGAACATGAGAGATGAGTGTCAAAGGTATACAGAATCTTAGAAGTTTCACTTGCTTCGCGCTATGACAATGTTATAAGCACATAACAAAACAGGCAACGTGTTACAAAGTAGTAGGGAAGCACAACTTCAACAATAGCTCAACTCTACAATTGAACACGAAATTACAAAGAATAACAAGTTGATCTAAATAAATAAAATAAAAAAACGCTTCAGCAACGATCGGGCATGCTACACTGCCAGAGTAAGACATAGTTCAGAGAAAGTGAAGTGCAACTTCAACATTGTAATATTCTCAAGCAAACACAGTAATCATCCAATAAGTACAAGACCCGGCATTTCGAGTGAACACTCCTAAAAGACACTATGCACAAGCATCAAGCAAATGGATTTATCTGGGTATTAATTAAAGTGAAAGGGATTAAAATTTATACCCAATATTAATAAGACTGCTGAAGGAATCCATAAGCTGCTGTTGCTGGGGATGCTGCGAGTGCTGCTGCTGCTGTTGTGGCTCCTGCTGCTGAAGCTGCTGTGGTCGCAGACTCGCACCGGCCGCACTCGAAGGAGCCCCATTTGATTCAGAAAATCTCCACATATACATCGTCGCTACTGACCGGTAAGGCCGCCACTTTTCGCACAGATGCTCCATCTGCGACGGCCGAGGCAGCTCCTCAAGATTGTACAGAAGCTGAACACCTTTCCGGATTCCGAGGTCGTTGATCGGAAGCACGTCGGGCCTGTGCAGCGAGTTAATCATGAACATGTGCACAGACCAAGACCCGATCCCGTTGACCATCGTCAGCATTGTGAACAACGACTTGTCGTCCATATTTACAATCGCCGAGTCCGATAGAATGCCGTTCTGGTACTTCCGCGCCAAGTCGTGGAGGTAACTCGCTTTCCGGCCCGAAATTCCGATTTGCCGGAGCTGCTGCGGCGTCTGGGCGAGCACGGTTTCGGGTACGACGCAGGCCTCGCCGCCGCACAGCCCGATAAAGCGCGTGTAGATCGACGTGCCGGCCTTGTACGCGAGTTGCTGGTAGAGAATGCTGCGGGTTAGGGCAAGGAAGGGGGTGTGGAAGTTATCGAAGGTCGGCCGCGGGTGGAGGTCGATCAACGGAGCCAGGAGCGGATCGGCGTTTCGGAGATAGCGAATCGCCGTCTCGATCTCTCCCTCGCAGGAGAGCGGCCGCGCTACAATTTTGGGCGCCGAAACGGTGCGCTGCGGAACGGTCTTGATCTTGGAAGCCTTGGTGGCGGCGACAGGTTTGGGGGCTTCCGGTACGACGACGATTTGAAGGGAGGAAGCGGGGTCGGCGCTGTCGGGCGAGAGCTTCCGGATCTTTCGGGGGCGGAAGGGGATTTTAGAAGGTGGGGAGGAGGTCTTGGACGGAGCATTGCTCAGCTCGGTGGGCGTGGGGCCGACTTGGGCGATTGTGGTATCGTCGATGGAGTCATGGTGCGGCGGCGGCTTAGTCGGTGTCGGAGCTTGAGTCGGAGTCTGGGGCTGGGCTTGGGTTTGGGTTTGGCCCTGGGTTTGCTCGCCCATATGTTGTGAGTGTGTTTCAAAATGAATGGGTGGGTGGGTTGACTGATTATACTTGCGGCGGTCGCGGTGGAGGAGTGCGCGGTGGTTTAGGAGGAGGATTGAATTGAAGACATCGGAAAATTGGGAGTGTTTGTGTAGAGAGAGAGAGAGAGAGAGAGAGAGAAGGGAGTGCAGTTTAAGAATTGACTAACGAGTTTCCGAACGAGTTTAAGTGACAAACTCAGAAGTCATAACTCACTCGGACTAAATATCCAAACCAAATTTTGGGCAAGTAAACTGTAGATTGGGCCTTAAACATCCCAATTTAACAGGCTTAAACCTAAAGGTCTTGTCCTAAACCGGACTAAATCAATTTCTGGCCCATTAGTTAGACTTTCTAATGATGTAAGGGGTGCAACTCTACAGGTTGAACGGTGTAGATGGTCAATCCAAACCTAACCTAACTTTCACGATTTGGATTTGGGTTGGATTTGAATTTATGCTGGGTTTATTTAAGTTCAGGTTTCAATTGAGTTCGGGTTTACTTAGATTGGGTTTGTGTTTATCCAACTTTATCGAGTTTAATCTTATAACAGCTTGTTTTGCAAAACTATTTAAATTTTGAATCAAACAACATCAATACTAGCTGAAATTTAACTTTACACATCATCATTCATGCAAAAGTAAACCAAATAGTGTGGAGTCCATTTCTAATGTTTCTACCAAAATTAAAAAAGAATACTAAAGTTTCAACTAAAAGAAACGTAAGAGTAATATTATCATCATTCAATGAAACCAACAACAAACTTCAAAGTCATCCTAGAACTTGTACGAACTTATATAATATGAAACAAGATGGATAATACATACATGAGAGAACTTGGGTTGAGGTTGTGTGTTTGGGCGAGTTTTTATTTCATTCTGACCCGCCTAATCAAGTTTGAAACCAAGTTGGGTATGGACGAATTCAGGTTGACCTAACTCAAATTGCACCCCTACTTGGTGTTACTAACATATGTTTTTTTTTTTTTTTGAACAACGATATTATCTATACTAAAGGGGAGGGGGTAGACTAAGCTTCACAATGAGTTAGCAATAGTGTGGTTCAAATTTGCCTTTAGCGATAATTAAATATAAGACTTCTCACTTACAAGTAAAAATTAGTAACAACATGTAGTGATGTATTAAACTATGGATAGACGACAAAACAAATATATTGAAGATATAAGATTAATAAATAAATATACACCTTATAACATGTGAAGATTTGTAACAACATGTAGTGATGTGAATGTCATACAAAATTTTATAAATAGAAGTGAAAAGTTTACACATGCGATTCTCATGTAAGGTGGTGCAGTTAAAAATCATCTCCTTGGCATAAAACTTAAAAAAATAAAAAAAGGAGTTTAAAACTCGTTATATTATGACCAACGCCATAATACTTTTGTGTTGTGTGTACATTTTTGTTCATATAATTTGTATCATTAATACGAAACACCACAATAACGACAAATCCGTAGTATAAAGGTCGTCCTCATGTTACTATATCTATCGCTTCTAAAAGGAATAAAATGAAAATTGAAAGAACCTCACTAAAACAGTAAAACCATACAGCATATTACCAAAACTACACACGTCACCAAGTAATTGACGACGCCCTCGTTCATCGGAGAATTGGACCAAACCAACTAGCGGTGACAAATGTACTGCTACTCCAAAATGTTTGGTATCCACTTGCACCGTGCGTGCAAGTAAATTCGGAAGATGATTCTTTTAGATTCACTTTGTGGAGATTCCTAGCTGTTCATCATATATCGTATAGTTAATTTTTGTCAGGTACTATTTGTGTTTAATTTTAAATAAAAAAAATCAAATGATTTCTGATCGCATGATGCATGATGAATGGCTAAGATTTAAGGATCTTTAGGATCCTCATAATTTGGATCAAGATGGGATCCAAATCCAGTAAATGCATTAACAACTTTGTTCCAGCAGTTAAAAAAATTTATTTTCGTACTGGTATTTTAAATAAATTTTTTTAGCTAAATTTGTTTTTGAGATAAGTATAATTCTTCACTTTGATTCCCGATAATAAAAATTGATAGAAATGATCCTTAAGTTTGTCTACCATAAATCATTTTAGTCATTCCTATGAAAGATCTGTCAATATGTTTGTTAAGTTGAAGGGTTGGACAAAAAGGCCCTTAAAAATATGGTCACATGGTCCTTTCACGTAAATTTAACGAGGATATTGACAAATTTTTCACATAATGACAAAATCTATGGTGAACAAACTCAGCGACCAATTTTTATCGATTTTGATTGTCACATACCAAAATGAGAAGTTATGCCAATTTTATAAATCATTTTAGCTAAAAAGCCTTTATTTTTTTTCGATCTTAAGATTGATAATTATAAAAAACTATATCAATTTACACATGAGTCTCAAACATAGACGTTGATTGTGATTCTTTTGGAATGATGCCTCTCAAACTAAGGACTATTAGGTAGAAGATTAGAACTGACAAATCAAATTGATTAAACCAAAATTGTAATCACCTTGTATTATTTTTTTTAATAAGTTAAAAATTGTGTGTGGATTAGGTGGAATTTCTGATTAAACAAAAACAATTAGATCGAAATTAGTAGATAAGTTTAGTAGCATGCAAAAGCACGTGGATTCTAGTTTTTATTTTTATTTAATTGGTAGGTACAAAATAAATAAATAATAATAATTGAAGGAGAAGAATCCACTAGCTGAAAGAGATATGTGCAAGTGCAACTTGATGAAATCCAAGGGACGGACAATGATATACCACTGGCCTACAATTTCAAATATCAACAAATTAAGGATTGGTTTGGGATTTTAAATTGATTAAAAGTAATTTTAAAGAAAATATTTATGAGTTTTAAAAGTAAGTGTTTCCAGCGAGAAACATTAGTTATGTGTTTTTATGTAAGAAGCACTTAAAATATTTTTGCAAAATTCACTTGCGATTTTACTAAAAGATTATTTCAAAAAATATTTTCACAAAAAACAAATCCTGAACATGAACCCTAACATTTCAATTAACATGACTTCGATTTAATTAACATTTAAAAAGATAATCTCTATCAACAAAATCAAAATCCTTCTAAATTTGGTGGGAGAATGTAATCGACACACACCTGAAAGCTATAGAAAATTCCAAAAATATATTTTGACAAATAAACATGAAAACATCACCAGGTTATAAATTGGGAGAAAATTTTCAATAGGACAACTTGATCAACCAATTTATCCGATTATACTTGCAAGGAGTGACATTGGGTGCATGGTGAGTTGTATGTACATGATTTTGAAAATCTCCAATGGGGAGGGCAAATTCCTCTATAAATATGTTCGATCAGATCAATCGTACAAAAGATCAAACTATGTGCATGGTGAGTGGTACGTATATGAAGCTAAAATTTTAGGGAACTTTAATGTAAAGGTCCTGATATCGTTCATTTTAACGAAAAATCATATTTTTACACTAAAAAGTCAATCCTGGTACTGTTTACTTTTCCTTTTATTTTGTCCTTATTATTAAAACTCAAAGTTTTTAAACCATTTTCATTAGTTTTCCTAAAAATTTATACTAATAAAGGGGACGCGTTCTCTTATATCCGACCATCCAAATCATCAAGCTACCATATCAAAATTCTTTACCAAATAAACAATTAGACACATACTCAACATAAAAATTAACTTCGTATAATGCTAGAGAAGCCAACTAATGTGTATGTATTTTGTTTATTCTTATTTAAACACACTTTAAACCTGATTATTCACCAAAAAAGTAAAAAAAATATTATATTACATGCCATATCAATTTATAACAAAAAAAATTAATAGTTTGGTAACTATTTTTTTGTCCTAAATTTGGCAACTCTCGACTCCTATTCTCATCGCGGTTGTTTTTTTGTTTTTAATCTAAATTACTTATTATCAGAATTATCTTTGTCAATCAAAAATAGAGAAAAGATAAATTAATCTTTTACTACAATATAAAATCACGAGCAATAAAGTAAAGGTAGTGATATCTACATATCCATTTTTATTTCTTACATGTTTCTCTCAATTTTCGGTCAGATCGAATAAATTGAAGAAAATCAATGACCAAAATTACCAAGGGTGAATGGGAAGTAAAAATGAGTGTGAATAGTACTATCTTAAAATAATTTCTCACAAACCAAATTTTACAATTTTTTTTTAAACCTCGCCCATTTATAACCCAGAAAGCGATCATCTTTGGATCCCTTCCACCTAATCCTCCTCATCAAACAATTCGGATCCTTGAAATTTGACCCAACAGCTAAAGTTATTATAACTTTGAGAGTAAACATCTGTTTTAGAAAGGATCCAGAGATGATCCATTTCATATAATCCTATTATATCTCTAATTTTTTTTAAAAAAAAAAGGTTCTCTCTTTCACTTTCACATTCTCTCACTCTCCTTCTCTTCTTTCCATTTGAAAAACAAAAAGAAAAAAATATTCATACTCTCAAAGTGTGAATGACGAGGCCACGAGGATTGAGGGCTAACGTTTTGTTTCACACAGCGACGTGGCAGAAGGAGAGCACGGTGGCACAGTCATCCCACGAGACTAGTGGTAACGACGAGGATTACAGTTGGACATAAATCACGGCAGTCGCACAACACGAAAAAACATCCCATTGGCTAGCCATCTGTTTTTTTTTTTATCTTAAATATTATTTTATCTGGTTTTTTTTTTTTTTCATTGGCCATTTCATCGACCACCTTCCGCGCGCGGCGACAAAGCTCTGTGTCTCTCTCTGTTTCTCTGATCGGAGAAGGCGAGAAAAATGAGTTTCCGGGACGACAATGAGGAGGGGAGGGGAGATCTCCGGAAGCCCTTCCTCCACACTGGGAGCTGGTACCGCATGGGTTCCAGGCAATCCAGCATGATGGGCTCGCAGGTGATCCGTGATAGCTCCATTTCTGTTGTCGCTTGCGTCTTGATTGTCGCTCTGGGTCCTATCCAATTCGGCTTCACCGTAAGCACAGCTCTTCTTCTTCTTCTTCAATTGTTTTCCGCCATTGGAGAGCCTTGAGCTATTGGGTTTTAGAGACGCTGAGCTTTTCGATTGCAGAGAGCTCACAAAAACAGAAGCTTGAGCTCGATTTTACTTTCTTTGTATTCATATCTGCTGAATTATGAATCGCATTT